GATGGAGATGGGATGTGAAAGGGCCTCAAGGAGTGAAATAAATGTAGAGCAGCTTCTGGATGTGTGTGGAAGTAATTTCAGCTGGGCACTGGGCCACTATTGACAACAGGCTTTAATATTTGGATGTATGGGATAGTTTTGGAGGCTGAACCTGAGAGCTGTAGCTCAGGGATTCCAGCCCTTCCTTTCAGAGGAGTTATCTACTTGTCTCATGCAATTCGAGGCTCAGGGAATTGGAAGTAGCTGAACTGATGGAAAATGTCATTTTGCTTTCGTCGATGATATGAAAGAAGGGAGGCAGGGTTCCTGGTTGGCTTATTTGTTTCTTTGTTGTTTTTCTTTTTCCCCACCCTGAACTCCATTAAGAGATGCGACAAACAGCAAACAGAGGAGGAAGAGAAAGAGGTACATGCCCCAGTAAAAACGAAATATCTTTAAAAAAAATAATAAAAGAGCTTCCCCACCCCCTCCCCCCCGTCAAAGACTGTTAAATATCAACAACAAATTCCACACAGATTCATTGTGGTTGAAAAAAACCCCATGTTTTTTAAATGTCAGCCAGCTCCAGTTTTAACCTTATTGTTTCTCCCTCTCCTTAAGTTCCCAACCCCATCCCCTGCTGGGGACTGAGTCATGTTCTGTTGTGAGCTCTCCTTAGACAGCTCACAGCTCTGCTCCAGTCGCTTTTTCGGGCCCTTCTGTTCTCCACGCTCTGAAGTTCACTAAACCCACCTCCAAAATTTAGGGTGTCAGCTGGAAAACAGAACGTTTCCAAGCTGACTCCCCTGCTCGGTAGCAAATCAATTATTATAATGGCCTGGTTATTGACAGGTGTGTGGGATGTCTTTCTCCTGGGTGCAGGGATGACACAAATCCAGTGTTCAGCATTCTCCTCATCTCCATCTCCCCTCTCCATCCCCTCTGTTCTCTCCAGCCCTGCTTGCTGTGCCTCTGGAACTGGCTGTTTCCAACGTGCCTCTCAGGGAACAATCACACATTTGTGTCCTTACTCTTCCTTCCTTTTGGCTTCAGCCCCTTTTTAAGCATCTCCATAGTTACCTCTTCCTCAGGCTGCAGAGTCAGAGCTGCCTGTGAGCAACCACCTCGTTGTCTGGAATGCCTTTCCTCCATCTACTTCCTCTCACTGACTTCCCTCCGAAAAAGATGCAGCTTTTCCCTCTCCTCTGCTCTGCGAGGGAATGCTTTGATTCATCCACCAGACAACGTGTCCACTTCTCTGCCTCACCTAATTCGTGCCAGCTGCTTTCTGATGGCCTGTGATGCAGTTTTCAGTTGGATGTTACAGTTCTGGGGGAGAGCAGCTCTGCAAAATGATTTTGCCCCTCGTAGCCCTTGCCTTGCCCAAAATCTGTGTTTGGCTCTTCCCTGGGAGCTTTACAGCCTGCAGGATGAAATGAGAAGCGTGTCTCAAGGCTTTTGCAGTGCACTGCTTGTTCTCAGGGAGTCAAAGGCCACCAGATAATAAATGAAATGAATTGAACAGACTAAGAGGCTGCAGTCGTCAAAAGCATATTTACTGCGGGCTTGAAACCAAGCACTGTGATTACTGAAGTTTTATATTTGCAGACAGATCCAGTTTAGCCCCTGTGAAATGCACCACTAAAACTAATGCCAATCCTCCTGAGATTATCAGCCATTCCAGGATCTCGGCTCATTTAGCAAATCTAACCATTAAAGGATAAATGCTCTTCAAACTGGTTTTTTTTACTTTTTTTCTTTCTCCCCCCCCCCTCCCCCAGCATCTGAGCATTAATATTTCTCCTCCTGTTGTTCCTACCTCATTTTATAAGGGGCCTCTCTTTGTTTCCCCCCCAAACTGAGATCTAGAACAACTCAGCTAAATTTTAGCCCTCGAGGGGCTGGTCTAGAGACCATTTGGTTTAGGCTGGTTTTGCCATTTCCAGACACTTCAGCAGCCCCTCTACCTCTGCGTGCTTTCTGAGCCTGTCCAAAACTGATTTAATTGTGCTTTTGAGGGCTTGGTGCCTTCATCTGCATCTGTAAATCTTGGGAGAGCAACCTGCCCTCCTGGGATCTGAGCTCAAAGCCCACATCTATTGTCTTCCTGCATTTCTCTCCTGCCCTGCTCTGGTGGGAATAACTTGGGACTGTGCCGGCTCAGTCTCCAACTTCTAAACAGTGAACTGTTCTCCCTTTTCCACCGCTAAAGGAGCAGCATTCCAGTAGCTGTCAGCAGCTGCCTCTGCTTTTTCTTGCCGGGGTTGAAAAGCGGGTGTGGGAGGTGTAACCCCCAAACCAGCACCAGATCGTCGCCTCCCTCTCCTTTGCATCTTTTGCTGTAAACTGAACACAGGGGGGAGAGGCTCCAGCATCATCTGAATTACAAAACCATCCTATTGTCAAGCCTTGAAGTGTCACAATCTCTTTCAAAACCCAAGGCTGTGACATTCGCTGAAGAACAGCCTCGTTTCAAAGTCAGGAAGGGCTATTCTTAGCACATCAGTCAAAAAAGGAGAGGGGAACAAAAAGTCGTTGGGGGGGGGGGGGGGGGAAAACTACAACAATTTTACCAAAATGAACCTTGTCAGAAATGATCAATTCATCCTCCATTCAGACTGACCTGGTCCTTGCTGCATGCCACAGGACGGAATTGGTTGACATGGCACAATAAATTAAGATTGCCAGATCTCCTTGTAATTAATTGTCTTGCAGCGCAGGTTTGGCAAAGAATAATTTGAAGTGATTAAATTACTGGTAGCTTGGTTTGGGTTCTTTTTTGGTTTTCTTTTTTTTTTTTTTTTTTTTCCTTTTTAAGGAACGTTTCTCCTCAGTTAGTTGAAGAATAGTTGCTGATGAGTAACAGCCACCTCCCAGTACTTTATTTGTGCTATTTAAATACTTCTTCCTGCTAGACCAGTGCCTCCTCAACAGTCAAGAGACAAAGTTAAGACATGATAAGAGTTATGCTTCTTAAATTAAGTGGAAATTCTAAAGCACTTGTCCTAATACATACTCAACAAACTACTCTTCAATTTAACAAGAAAAAGAATTTACTAAGTTTCTAGAGTGCTAACTGAACATCTGTGTTATTTCAGGGCTGTGCCTTCTAAATTCTGCCTACAAAGAGCTTTTGCTGGTGGATTCTTCATATTCGAGGGCTGAGAGTGCAAAGAGCTTTTCCCAACCTGCTTGAAAAAGCTACACAAGATTATTTATATCTTTAATTAGATGGGGACAGAGGGTGCTTCTGAGGATGGGATTCACTGGGGGATGATGCTGGAGCAAGTCTGCTGTCCAAGCAGATCCTTGACACCCCTGTGAACGTCCTGACCATCTCCAGAGGGACTGTCATTAACGTGCTTCTCTCTTCCCTTCTCTTTAGTATTCATGCAGTGATGATCATGTGAAAATTACTCACACTTTTGACTCGAGAAAACTTTCTTAGCCGAGAAATTCAACCAATATCGAGGGAATTAGAAATTCAAATGGGGGGAAATTATACACTCTGTGTGTCAATACAGCAAACCTCATAAAAGCCGCAATCAATCACATCGGCATCAAAGGTGCCGGTACTTTTCCCTGTCACCAAGTCCAATGAATAAAGGAAAAGGTTAATCAGGAGAAGAAACCTTGGTTTGCTGCCTGGAGAGAGGGGTTGCCACGTGCAAAAGCACAGGCCTGGAGTGAGTTCTGGAGATGCTTTGGTTGTGACCTGTGGTCATGCACAAAGCTGGTTCGTGTGTTGCCCATTTCTCTGCTGTCTGTGTTTGTGCTGTTTCAGTAGGACAAGAGCTGCCTCTCCACCTTCATTTCTTGCAGTGGGCTATTGCACAGTGTCCCCCTCAACCCCCTGCCTGAGTTCCCCACTCCTTCCCGTGCTTTGACACCTCCCATGTTCCTGCTGCAAGTTAAATCTCAATTCCTCATGCCTGGGTGCAGCCTCGCATTGGGCAACTCACTCTGCAAGTCACTTCAATTCATTAAATGAATTTAATGATCCAGACTGGTCTCCCACTGTCCAGCTGCTGATGGAACAGCATGTGGTACAGGGTGGACTTCCATAACAATATCTTTATATCTTTTTTTTAACCACATTATGTTGTAGGACTGATCAAAACACCAAGGGACACCTCTCGTGTCTCACACGCATGATGTCAGACCTCAGGCGGGGATCTGTAAAACCCAGCAGTGACTTGCAGAGGCTGCAACTGATTCCTGCACGATCCTGTCTCTCTGCTCCTCTCCTTTTGTGTTTTGACTGCCAAATTTTGTGGTTTTGTAGGTCTTGTGCCTCAGCTCTCTCTGCTGTCAACTCCCCGAGATGCAAGAAGTAGGCACGGCCCAGATGCTCGCCTGGAGCAGAAACAGCACATCTTTCTACTACTATTCCCCATCGGGTCCCCTGAGTCGCGGATTTCTGGCAGACAGCATTCCATGGGGAGAAAAAGAACCTCAGGCCTTTGGTTTGCAGTTGTTGTAAAAAACCTGATCCTGGTTTCGGTGTAATTTAGCAGATTGAAATGAGAGATATAATAAATCTCTAAGCGACTCAGGAAGCTTTTGCCAGTTAAAAACTGTTCAGATTTTGGAATAATCAGTAATCCCCTCACATTTCCAGGGGCTTTTGTGTACTTTCAGTGTCACAGCTACAGCTTTGAGGGGTGTGGGTACTGATAAGTGCATGTTTGCATGTTGCTGGATGGGTCTTTTCAAAACTACAGAGAGGCAACAGGAATGAAGCAGCCAGAAGGATAAACAGCTCCTGGTGATGATTTAAGACTTTCTGTGCACATACATATATATATTATTTTCAAACAGGGATGTAGGAGAGGTGAGCAATAAGGTGCTGAAAATCCACCAGTTCAGTGCGTGCAAAAAACAAAGTTGTGTCTGTACAGGTGTGTGTGCAGGTGGGTGTAGGTGCATGGATGGGTGCATGGAGTGCTCAGAACCATCCCTGGTGCCTCACCAGCCCGTGGCTGACCCCCCAGGAGCTGAGCTGCCCGAGGCTGACTTACCTTCTGCGCTCTCCTCTTGTCGGCTCGCTGGTTCTGGTGGTAAATCCGGCTGAAGTTGGAAACAATGACTGGAACCGGCAGAGCAATGACCAGCACCCCACTCAGGGAGCAAATGGAGCCAAAGATCTTCCCAGCGATTGTCTTGGGCACCATGTCACCATAACTAGGGGGGAAAAACAAAAAAGGGAAGCCCCTCCTTCAGACAAAAAAGTCCTTTTTAGGTTTTCCTGAGCGCTCGGCAAACTGCGCGTCCAACGTCGGACACCAAAGCTTAGAAATCCACCATGCAAGGGACAATTCGTGGTGCTGCCACCCTGAAATGGCCACTGACACCACAGTTTGGCTGGGAATTAAGCTAAACTTAAAAAAAAAAAAAAAAAAAAAGCACTTTTGTTGCTGGTTCAGGCAGCTGCTGAGTATTTAAATTCCTGTCCTTGCTTGTTCCCTACCTGCCTCTCCGCGTAGATGAGCTCTAGCAAACTTTAAACTCTGTCTGCTTGTGAGCAGGTTCATATATTTTCATTCCCTTGTATCCAGGTGCAAATGAAAACTGATTTACACTTCCATTTCAAAGCCCAGCAGTTTCCTGGCCATCTGCACAGTCAGGAATTTGGGGGTTGTTCAAAGTCTGTGCTCAGTGAAAGGTGAATTCTCAGGGATACGAAACCAGCTGAAAAATGTTCAGAAAAAACTCTGCACTGGGTTTGACCTAACAGTCTTCAATTGTAATTTGAGTTACAGAATAGGGAGCTGGACCTGCTGGAGCAGGTCCAGAGGGGGTCACAGAGATGCTCAGCCCCTCTGCTCTGGAGAAAACCTGAAAACTGAAATCTGGAGAAGCCCCCATTTGCTGTCAGATGATGTTTGGAATCTCTGTGGTCTTCTTTGAGATGTTCTAGTGTTTGATGCAGCAAATATTGAAAAGCAAAATGCTTTTTTTACAGCTGAGGCTTTATTTTTAGCTTTGATGTCAGCATTTGACCAGCAAAGAGCTTTGGTGGGGAACAGAGTTGAGCTGAGAATAATTTACATCCAAGAGGAAAAACAAATATTTCAAAGTACCTTTTTTATCAGCTGAACTTCTTGCCCCCATCCAAGAACTTGTTGGTCTGAGAGTCTGAATAAAAGCAGAAGTCATTACATGTTAAATACTTCAGGCTTCATTAGCTGAGGCTTATTTATCCCAAGCACACTCCTTCTCCACCTTCACCCACATTAAAACCCTCAGAATACCTCAAATCAATAATTGCTCTTCATGTCTATTAACTTTTTAGCTGCTGCTTTATGCAAAGATGGTTCCAAAGCTCTCGCTAAGTGACAAGGTCTTCTACCTCATTTAACACTGGTCTAAAAAAAAAAAAAAAATTATAAAATCCTACTTTTCTCCTGCCAGCCCTTAACACAATAAGACTGCAAATTAATCATATGCCTCAAACATGATCTCAGTGACCCAGAGCACTGAGAGAAAGCCCTTCTGTGCGTTTGTAGAAAGTGTAATAATAAGTGTCTGGCTCACAGTCTGTCTTTGTGGAGTTTTGTTCTCATGTGCAGACTGAGAGTCACCTCATTATTTGGGACTCGAGAGAAGGAGCTTTCAAACACCATCAAACTCCTGGAGCAAGGGAGGGTTGTGCCGGGGAGATGGAGAACTTCATGTGCCAAACCATTCTGAGAGCTACTGGAATGAGGAACTTGGGTCTGGCTGGAGAAAACTGCACGGGAACGAGACCTGAGACTTGTCACTCTGACTGTGGATCTACCACAGAGTCACCCTGTGGAGGTGGGAAGCACTCTGCTGGATTCTCCCCTCGGGGCTGGAATGGCAAGTCAGGCCCTTGGGATGTGTTGCCAGACCTGATGTTTGGGAATATCACGGCAAAACCCAGCTGGAGCCTGATCTGGATCTCTTTGCACTCGATGAGAGGCCTCCTTTTGACTTTGGCAGGGTCTGGAAGGAGCCTATAAAGTTGCAATTGTTCTGCTCCTCTATTGACACACACAGCTCCTGCAATATTAATTGCTGGAGCGACTATTTCTGTCCTGATGGTACCATAAGGTACTAATGGCCCCATGGCATATTTATAACAGGTACAGTGCCAAATAAACTCAGATACTGGATTTCAGTTAGCACTAATTAGGCATTTCAAATCCCAAAACTTCTTTTCCCCAGACTGGAACGAGAGGACTCAACTTTCCCATTAATTTGTTTAGAGAAAGGCAACTTGTCATCTAAAAAACTTCTACAGAAAAGTGCATTGTAAGTAATCCATCAATAATCTCATTAGAGCAGAAAAAGATAGAAGAGTTGGGTAATGATTAACATTCAGGGGGTCTAACAGGGTGTTTGAGCCTGCAAGAAAACAACAGGAGGCTGCAAATTCAGTAGACTTTTAATGTGACCTCTAGTAAATCATTTCAACTCTCTGTACCTTGGTTCCCCACTTATGAAAGGGCAATTAATTACTTATTCTTTGCCTGGTTAGTTAAGTAGGTGTTGGTTCTTCGGAGCAGGAGCTGCCCCATATTCTGAATATACCCAGTGGTGGCTCCTTAGTGCTGCTGCATCACAAATATTAACAATGCAAAGCAGTTGTACAGAAATCTGGGGTTAACACGGCCTGCACGTGGCCCCAGGCTCATTCCTTGGGACAAACTGAGGGTCCAGAGCATCAGCTGGAGCTGAGCATCAGCTCAGATGTGGAACATGCCTAGAGATAAAACATTCTCCCTGCTTGTTTTGCCAGGAATGCAGTGAGATGGCAGCAGATCGAGCTGGTTTGCAGTTGCTGAATTCAGTGGAAGTGGAAGGTTCCTTGCCCATGGCTGGGGGGGTGGTGGTGGTGGAATGAGATGATCTTTAAGGTCCCTTCCAACCCAAACCATTTTAGGATTTATGGTTCTGCTGCCTGGCTGTGCCAGGTGAGATGCACCTGCTGCCAGACAGCACTGGGGTGCTTTTGTGTTAAAAAAAAATAATAAAAAAAATTACTTTTAAGTGCTCACTCTTCAGACTGCAAAACACTGAATGCAGAACTTCAACAACTTTGTTTTTTTTTTTTTTTATTTTTAATTTGTACTGTGACTTCTGCGTTCTTTGGATATAAAAAGGGGTCATGTGTCACTCACCCTAATTAGCAGCTATTAGTCCTGACAGCATAATGTGCTGTTGTTTGTCTCTCTGTCAGCAGAGAAGGTGTTATCAAATAGAGGTCAATGCTTCCAAGTCCTGGTTTTAGCCACGGAGGTGTCTGGACGTTGCTCAGGTCCCCAGCTGGAGACAGCAATAAATAAGGTGCTGAACAGCTCATCAAATGACTCACTCTAAAAATAGCAGCATCTCTGGTGATCCTGTGTCTCTGTGCAACGTTCACAGCCCTGGAAACAGGGGCTTGTAGGAAAACAGCTGGAATATCCCACGGTGTGGGGACATGGGGAGGGGGAATGGCAGTGACAGCTCTGTGGGGACAGTGAAACAGCTTTACAGAAGATGCTTTTTCCCAGCAGCCTTCTTGTACCAACTGGGTAAGGCAGAGCTGGGGAGGGGCTTCTGGGTCATAAATGACCATTTGTCTGCTGGTGCCTCCGTGGGTTTCTCTGGATGCAGAGGAGGCAACAGGGCAACTGAAAACTGCTGAGCCTGTATAGAATTCTAGACTGGTTTGGGTTGGAAGGGACCTTAAAAATCATCTCATCCCACGCCCTGCCATGGGCAGGGACACCTCCCACTAGCCCAGGTTGTTCCAAGCCCCTTTAGGCCCTGGAAGGGGCTCTCAGGTCTCCCTGGAGCCTTCTCTTCTCCAGACTGGATACCCCCTGGATACCCCAGTGTGCATCCAGTGGTCAGGACGGTGCTTTCTCTTGTTGCTGTGTTTCACTGCTCAAGGGCCATCGCCTGCCTAGGGGTGCAAAACCGGGTGGTTTTCACGCACAGCCCGTGCCAGCTGAAATATCTGATGGAGCTGGAAACAGAAACAATGCTCCTTCCCCTGATTTAGTATTTCTACCTCATCCTGGCATTAACAGCTCTGGGAGAGCTGCTTTATCTCCCTAACCTTTTGCCCAGCACGGCGGAGTCAAAAGAAGATTTCACTCCAGCCTGCAAAGTGTCTGCTTTTAGGACAATAAGGACAGAATAATAACATTATGTACTGCACAATAGACCGTGATTTTGAAAGCCTTTCGCATGAAAGGGCTGGAATAAAGCATGGAATTAGCATGTAGCTTTCCAGGTGCAAGAGATCCTTTCTCTGCACTGTAAGTAAATCACTAGGCAAAGTTGGGATTTGCACAAAGGAGAGGGGAAAAATGGCTAAAATTCATCAGGAACGTTTCAGTTGCACCGGCAGACTGTGTGTGTTGTATCTGACAGCTCAGAGGAGCTCATGTGCCTCCATTTCATAGGTGCAAGTCCGATGTAATCTTGTTAATGCTGCTTTGAACCCCCAGTGAAATAATGATCGTGTCACTCGTAATGATCCGAAGGAAACCAACCCAAGTATTACTCATTCCTTTTGCACATGACAAACGAGCAGGGAATTAACAGCTCTGCTAAGAGAGCTGGGGGTAGTTAGGTCTTTTGTTTAGGGTTTAATTCATCATTTCTCTGCCACATTACCTGTTTTCATCTGCCTGGAATTAGCCCTCAAAACCCACAGCCCTCTGGAGCACAGGGAATTGCTGTTTGCCTGCTGTTCTGTCCATGGAATCACTGAGCAGTTTGGGTTGGAAGGGGCCTTTTAAAGGCCATCTAGTCCAATCTCCTGCAAAGAGCTTTTCCAATCAGCTCATCCTAGAAGGAGCAGGATGTGCTGCTGGAAGCCTGAGGAGCCCTACACGTGAGGAGGCTCGTGGTGCCTCCTCAAAGACGGAGCTGTAAACAGAGCCAGGGTGGTTTTGAAGCAGGAGAATCTATAAACAGGCTGTCAAATGACAGGCTTGAACAGCAAATCAGCTGTGTCTGGGGAAGCACAGAGCCTATTTCATGCTAGGGTTCTTTTACATTAAATATACTTATTTTTCTGCCTTGTTTTGAGCTGGGCAGCTCCCCCCCCCCCCACAGCTGGGTATTCAACTTCTGGCTTGGTTTTACACCACTGTTTTCTTATTTTCCCAGCATATTTCATTTGGGAATGTTTTCCTGGATGCTCTAGATATTCAGCTGAA